GGATAGTTATAGACATCAAGTTCATTATCAGGAATGGGCATTCGAGGTGGTCCTTCCACTATTGCTCAGCTTGCCAATTGATGTTATACCTTTAGATCACTCGAGGTCACTCTGGTGCCTGATCTGTCTTCGATCCTATGATTCCCTCTTCCCCCTATTCTACCCCCACCCCTCAACTTCCTGTTCCCCCATGACCAACTCCCTTCCTCTTTACCCCCTCTATTCTTCCCAGGTCCCACTACCCCCCCCTCGCCCTGTTCCCCATCCATTCAGAGGATCTTGTCTCCATCCTCTTCTCTTGGGTACTATGCATATATGCATATCTTTTAGGTTCTTTCCTGTTTCCCAGACTCTCTATCTGTGGAAGTGCAGACTGGCACTATCCTGATCCATATCTAAAATCCTGGTTTTTTTACAACATAATATTTTTATTGAGAATTTCACATCATGCATCCCATAATGCTCATTTCCCAGTCCTCCCATGTCCACTCCCCTACCCTTATAACATTCCCCCCAAAAAAAAGAAGAAAAAAATTCCAATTTGAGTTGTCCACATACTCACTGGAGCATGGCCAAACACTCAGCAGCCAGCCCCTTAAAAAAAACAACTGAGTCCCTCTCTACCCACGTCCCCACCAGAAACTGTCAGCTGTGGAGAGCTACACTTCTGCATGCTTATCACAAGTTTTAAGAGTTCTCTTTGAAGGCTTACTTTCCAGACCATTTCTTTTGGGAGGACTTGGGTTCTTTCTCACTTATGTGTCTGGAGTCACCGATACCCCTGCAAAAGTAGCTTCCTTATCCTTCTGGCAACAGCAGGGACCTGGAACATCCACATGCTCTCCAGCATCAGCATTGCCAAAGTCCTGCATTTGGTCTCTGGTGGAAGTACAGACCATGGACATCAGCATGACCCTGTGCCTAAGTATGATCACAGATACTGTCTAGCCTTCAGGGGTAACATGAGCATGGATACCAATATGGATGCTGGCAGCAACCCAGCCCCTGAACATCAACATGATGTAAAGTGGCAGACTAGAGATATCAACATGGCCTCAGGTGGTTTCACAGGCCACCCATATCCACATGGCTTCAGGAGGTGGCACAGACCACCGACATCTGAGTGGTCTTAGGTGGTAACACAGGCCAGAGGCATCAACAGCTGCAATAGAATCATGGACCCAAACATGGTCTTTGGAGCAGCACAGATCATGGACATTGTTGGGAATTATTCCTTTATACTGTGTGATAATGTGTCGCTGTGATTGGTTTAATAAAGAGCTAAATGGCCAATAGCTAGGCAGGAGTTATAGGTGAGACTTCTGGACAGAGAGAGAGTCTGGGAGGAAAAAAGGCAGGGTCCTCAGCCAGACACGGAATAACCAGGATAGGCATAATGGAGATGAGGTAACAAGCACATAGAAGATCTTAGACTAAGAAATACTGGTTAATTTAAGTTATAAGAGCTGGTTAAAAATAAGCCTAAGCTAAGGCCAAGCTTTCATAATTAGTAATAAGTCTCCATGACATTTTTGGTGAGCTGGTGGCCCAAAGAAAAATCCATCTACAGGACATTTATGTGACTTCAGGTGGTGGTACAGACCACGGACATTCACATGGGCCTCTGGCTTCACCACAGCCTGGACCAGCAGCACAGACTATGGGCAACATGGCCTCTGGGGGAAGTACAAACCATGGAAGTCTTTTGAGGAGGTTCAATACAGAAAATGAACCACTCTTCATCTTGGACACCCTATCATAGATCAGAGACAGGGCAATTGTGTAATTAGGTAGCTTGTTCAGTAGCTGCTTCTTCAAAAGCTCCAGGCTGCTACACACCGCCCTTCCCACCCACCGTACTGGGCAACTACATGTTCCTCCATTGACCTCATCCCTCTCTCTCACCTAAGATACTGTCCTATCTCTAGTTCCTCCTCTCCCTACACCTCATGCACCACTCTGTTCCTCCATCTTTACCACCTTTCCGTCACATATCCATTCTTCATAGTGACACTGGAAACTGCAGTGTGTCATACAACATAAATAATTTTTGCAAATAGCTATTGCAATTAATCATTGGTGTAGTTCAAGGTTTCTGGGTTCTGACATGCTATCAATACTGGACCATTGCCGAGATGATATCCTGCTGCTGCTCAGCACCATGGTGGTCCCATGACTCTGGTTCTGCACGACTGGTTCCTTCACACAGTCCAGCAGGTCATAGACAGAGTATATGTTGGTATGGACCAATTCAAAGTGCTGGATCTGGACCCAGGCAGTAGTTGGGTTGGTCAGCTGGCAGGGCCTGGCATTTGCCCCTGCCAATGGAGCCCTGCCCATGTCATTGTTTTTAATATCTGGTTAATACTCCATTGGGTAAATGTACCACATTTTCTTTTTTAATTCAACTTCTTTATTAACTCTTTGAGAGTTTCAGATCATGCACCCCAATTCTGCTCACCTCCCAGTCCTCCCAGATCCTCCCCTCACCTCTGTAACATCCCCTATGCACAAAAGAAAACAAAACAAAGTAAGCAAGCAAGCAAAACTAATCAAGAACAAAAAACAAGAATAGGAAACCTCTTTGCTTCTCCTTATGTCCTGCCTCTCCAACATCTCTTCATTCGTCCTGGTGGCACTGGGAGCCTTCGTGTGTCATACAGTACACACTTTTGTCCTATCGGCTCTACTAACTAAAGTTCATTGCAAGGCCTCTGGTTTCTGGTACACCATCCTCACTGGATTCTCACCGGAACTCCTATGGGATATCCTGTGGCTGCCCTGAGTCTTGGATATCCTACAGGTATTATTCCACAGGACCAGTCCCTTCACAAGCTCCAGTAGGTTCTAGACTGGGTATATGCTATGGTGGGTAACCCAAGACCGAGCTGTGGACCTGGATGGTATCTAGGCTGGTCAGTCTGGGTCTCTCAGCCACCCACTTCAGGTGAGGGGGCAGAGTCAGCTCCCTTAATCCATGCCCTCAGAGTCAGTTCACCCTTGCCTGTGCCTGAGGGGTGAGGCCATCTCTCCTGGGGCCATTGTCACCATGGCCCCAGTTGACATGCCACCCAGATGGCAATGTGGTCCCTAGACCCAAACACAACCCCAGGAGAAGTTCAGACCATTGGATTCAACATGACACTCAATGGCAACAGGAGCCACGGACACCAACACAGACCCTGGCTACTGTGGAGCCAGGGACCCAGACACGGCCCTTGGCAGCAGCCAGGCCTGGACATCACATGGCCCCAGGTGGTGAGCAGACCTCCACCCTCAGTCTACTCCTCACTGTCTTCACCATGGAATAATCAAGTTGAGGTAGGACTAAGATCCTCCCTTTGTATTAAGGCAGGGCAAGACAACCCAGTATGAGGAATAGGTTCCCAAAAGCAAGCTCAAGGGTTAGGGATAGGCCCTGATCCCACTACTAGGAGTCCCAGAAATAGACCAAGCTACACAACTGTCACAAGTATGTAGAGGGCCTAGGTGGGCCCCATGCAGACTCCCTAGCTGTCAGTCCAGAGTCTGTGAGCTCCTATGAGCCCAGGTTATTTGTTTTTATGGGTTCCCTTGTGATGACCTTCCTCCCCTCTTCCACAGGATGTCTGGAGCTTGGCCCAGTGCTTGGGTGTGGATCTCTGCATCTGTTTCCATCACTGGATGAAGACTCTCTGATAACAATTAGGGTAGTCACCAGTCTGATTACAGGAGATAGCCAGTTCAAGCACCCTCTCCACAATTAGCTGGGCTCATCCTTGTGGATTTCTGGGAGAGTCCCTGGCACCAGCTTTCTCCATGACCCCGAAATCCACACCCCCCAGGAAAGTAATGAAACAGTATCATTTTACATAGGTGAAAGCACCATGAGGTTTAAAATAACTCAAAATCCATAACTAAGATCTACTGTCATATTTATTAATTCATCCAAAGATACACAGCTTACAGAAAAATACAAAATAATGATGCTTTAACTAAGATCTTTTCTGTGTTAACAGTTAGAAGACTAAGTGAAAAATGATCTCTTCGTTTTTAAAATGCACAAAGGTCCATAAAATACCTAGAAGACATAAGAGAAATGTGAATGTGAGACTATATGAAAGAAGTAATCAGTACACAACATGTGTTGACATCTTACGATGCAGAGAACTGTGGAATAGTTCTCCTGTGTGTGCTCCTGAGTGAACAGACACAAGATATTTTATAAATACAACTTCTTCCAAATTTAATCCATTGATGACACAAATCCAATAAAAGCCCTAACTTTTTTTCAGAATTTGGCAGATGGTTTTAAAAAACATTTTCCATTATAAATGAGTGGGACTTTTGAAGTCAGTGGCACATTTGTCTTGCATGTTTAACTTTACTTACTGCTGGGGTTTGGTTTTTTGTTGTTGGTGGTGGTGGTGGTTTTTGGGGGTCTTTTTTGCCTCCACTGAATCTTCTAGTTGATTTGACAATGTGAAATGGAATTCAGAAGTAGAGATTCCCTGCTCTGCCCTCAATTTCCAGGTGGTGGTCCAAGAGCGCAGCAGTGCCAGATCAGAAGTTAAGTGTTTGTAGCCTGGTGCTGGCATTTGGCCTGGAATGGGCAGTACACGGTTGGTACTGCCTTGCAAAAGCATTTCTCCAGCAAACAAAACATGATCTAAATCCATGCTCACTGTGCTGATCAGTGCTGACTGGGAGGACAGCCTCCCACCCCCAGGACTGGCCTATGGGTTGGTGAGGTGTCCTTGCATGCACTTACCAGCACTGTGGCAGGTGCCAGCAACCAGAGTGTTGACAGAGCCCAGCCTCCTCCATGTCAGATCATGCAACTTTTAAGAGGCAATAGCTACAAGGTTCAGCCTTTGAAATGATGGCCAAGTGCAGCTAATAATAAACCAGTATCTTAGGCCAAGGAAGAAGAGTGTGCTATTGGCTGATGAGCCACCCTCCTTCTCAATGACATACTATAAAATCTTTGGTTTTCCTCAGGAAATTTCCACAAGTTTACAGTCAGAGCCCAGAAGCACCATGGCTGTTTTTGGTGTCACCATTGCCTTGCTGGTATGGGTGGCCACCCTCCTGATTGTATCCATCTGGAAGCAGATCTACAGCAGTTGGAACCTGCCCCCAGGACCCTTCCCACTTCCTATCTTGGGAAACATTTTCCAGCTGGATTTGAAGAATATCCCCAAGTCCCTCACCAAGGTGAGAGAAATTACTGCATCAAGAAAACAAGTTAGAGATTAGATACTATGTGTATATATTAACCTGTCAGTTGCTATCTGATGACAGACTACCGTGATATTTGCATTACATTTATTTTACAGTCCAGTTCAGCTTGGGCATGGAGTACTCACAGTGAGTAGTGCCATGCAGGCCCAGAGGCCGTGTACAGTTGGAGTTATTAAGAGATACTGATGTTGCTGGTATCATTATGTGTCAACTGTGATACAACAGGTGTACCCTATCTTGTGTCAGCCTATGTCAAAGAACAGACTAAAGAGGGAAATGGAAATATTGAGCCAATTGTGATTCACCAAAATAATAGCATTTGCCTTTTGCTAATTCTGTGAACATTGCATGGGCTAACCAGGCATGGAGTCGGCACTTGGTATCTGTGTTACAGGTTGCCCTTGCCCATGGCAAGGAATCTACAGGCTTCAGGAGCATTGATTCCAGTCAGCTGGCAGTGTCCTGGCATGTAGAGCCTCAGTTTTGGGAACAAACGAGAAGGTGGTTAATGTTGGCATTGGTTAAACAGCCACAGAGGAGAAAATTGTGTCTAGATGGAGGGAAGGGCCCTGCAAATCCAGTAACTTTAGGTGGAGTCTTCCCACATCAGACTGAACAAAAACAGCCTTTCCCCCAAGTCCCTCTAACTCTCTGTGAATAGCAGGAATAATAACATGGAATGAATGAGGGCAGTCTGGAGCGGGCTGACTCCTGCCTGCCTTATGGTCCACTCTGTGCATCGTTCCCTGCAGCTGGCAGAGCGCTTCGGGCCAGTATTCACACTGCACCTGGGCTCAAAGCGTATCGTGGTCCTGCATGGCTACAAGGCTGTCAAGGAGGTACTACTGAACCACAAGAATGAGTTCTCTGGCCGAGGGGACATTCCTGTGTTCCAAGAGTATATGAACAAGGGTGAGTTGGCTTCTTGGGCCATTGGAGGGGGCAAACTAACAGGGAGAGTGATGTACATATCATTTGATCCCCCAAATATTAACAAACTGTAGTGGCAGTAATAGAATGAAGACAGAAAGGCAAAGACTTGGGTGATGACTTGTGCCTGCATGAAAGTTGCTTTGAGACTTGTGATGAGCAGGCACTGTAAGCCCCATGAGAGTACCTTCAGGCCCCCACCCTCACCATAGCAACTCACAGAGAAAAGTAGAGAGGCTGTTTCTGAACCCAGGAAGTCTTCCCCCAAAGGATCCATCCATCTTCGGTGTCTCGTGTTTTTTCTGCACTTCTTGGAACTCTTTGCACACAGCCTTAACTGTCAACTAAGGTATAGATGGTTCCATACACCCAAGTACCTAAACCTGTCTGGTACTCTGTTTGCAGGGATGGACCAGTTTAGGGCTTTGCTTTCCTCTATTATAGATGGTGGTATGGAGAGAGAGAGAGAGAGAGAGAGAGAGAGAGAGAGAGAGAGAGAGAGAGAGAGAGAGAGAGAGAGAGAGAGAGAGAGAGAACAGTGCTACTCTGAATCTTGCTCACCTGTTCCCTCCTGCAACAGAGAAGTCCAGCATGCACGCTGTTTTCACGGCTCTACCTTCTATTGAGTGTGAGCACCTAGAACTAAGGATGCTTCAGCTCACTGGTGCCACCTGCTTGCCCAGCTTTGTCTGAACCTTTTTGCTTCCTCTTTGTAACCAGGTATCCCAAAGCAGATGAAAGAAAGGTGTCATGATTGTACCTGAGTCAGCTCTGGTGATAAATTTCTACGAAGCTTTTTCCTTTTGTGTGGGATTCCACATCAAAGTACCTTGAGCTTTAGGTCTCACCCTGGTGTCTAGCTTGGTTTCCCAGCCTATGTTTCCAAAACTACTTCCCCTCAAGCAGTAGCATTTGATGTTTGTTCCCTAATCAGTACTGGGACTTTCTGTACAAACAGAATTAACTATCTCAGTCCTTGTCCTTGCTATGGGAGTTACTGAAGAGGTACCAAGCAAAGTGACAAGGACCTGCTGGGAAGAGCACAACCCTTTATGCAGGACCCTTACCTGTGCTCTGGCCCACCTCAGACAATGAACCAGTGCAATTAGGATCTGCATCTCTACAGCTAGATTCAAAAGGCATTTGCTGCCTCTGTCTGGAAACCCCAAAATCCTGTTTTTATGCATCCCACACAGACCAGAGTGGCATGTAAAATCAGTGGGACCTTAGGTAAGGGATGACCTTGAGTTGCCAATGTTCTTTATGTGAATGTTTGTTATAATAACATTAAAATTAAAAACAGGTATGTGCCAATGTGCCAAAATAACTGTATGCATCATTTGAGTAAATATAGAGAAAACATGGTCCCACCTGGACAGTCAACCTAGAGAAAGGCCCCCTTACTGCAGTGGTAGGCTATCACTCTCTCAGCCATTAGGACACTCCTCTAACCTTCAGGATAAAACGGAAATCATCTTGGGGAGTAGATCAGTATTTATCCCTGGCCTACAAATGGACTTTGGGAGCCCATTCCACATCGAGGGATGTCTAGGCCATGCCCCAGATGGTATGACAGACTTTGGAGATCCCCCATGGTGGGCCTCAACCTCCCTGGGGAGCGAAGTGGAGATTGGGTGAGGGGCTGGGATGTTGGGGGTGGTGGGGGAGGAGGAGAGGGTGAGGGAGGTGGGATTGACATGTGAAGCAAGCTTATTTCTAATTTAAAGATTAAAAAAAGAAAAAAGTAAAAAAAAACTGAAATCATGAGTCTGACCCACAGCTCTTAGCTCATATCGCACACTTCTCTTTCCCCTCCCAGGCTGGCCATCTCTTGCTCTAGGAAGTTCTTTAGCACCATAGTAAGCATATGTCCCCTGAGGACTTCCACATGTTCTGCAGGGTCACCAGGCCATCTCACATAGGATCAGGAAGTTAGTATGGGAGAGATTATGAGAGGCAAGCAAGCACTGCACCCCATGTAGATATAAATCATTATTGTTTGTCTCAGAATGCTCTGAGCCTAGATGGTGCCTTAGACATGGTAGGTATCAAAACATTATTTATTGAAGAAGTGATGATGGGAAAAGTAAGAAAAGAAGGGGGTAAAGAAAGAGGAAGGACTTCTGGAGTGTAAAGAGGCCAGAAGGACTTTGCTAAGCAGAAGTCAGGTGGAGCTGGCCCTGGATACTTTGAACTGCTTGCAAGGGGATCCAGGATCTTCAAGCAACAAATAACAAGCCATCAGTCAAGATGACTTAGATTCAGATCCAAGGGATGGAAAATGCTCACATAATTTAGCTGATCTGGAGATGGAAGAAAAGAAAAATTAGTTTCAGATTTGTCGATTCCCAGTATTACATGGGGACATCAGGTCATGTTCCAGGAGGAGAAACAATACATTTTGTTTGAGGGGAAAGTACTCCGCAACATTTCATTGAGAAGGGATAGTACTCAGTCTTTATATCTTAATTTCCTCAAAATGGGAAGTCCTGTGACCTTTAGATTTTAGTAAAGGATGTTGCTTTGGAACCAGAAAGCTGTGCGTTGAAGTGTTTGTAATGCGAAGGTTAAAACCCATGAGCTCAGAAATGCTGCTAAGATCTCTGTCACTAGGCAGAAAAGAAGACGTTCCTCTTTTGAAGTGGCTGCCTACAATTTATTCAGCATGGTAAAGGTTCAGAGCAAAGTATGAAACCAAAGGAAATGAACTGGTGCCAAGGGAAGCAACTATGAAGCGCGGCCTTCTGTTCCCTTCTCTGTGTTTCTTCTGCACCTGCACATCTCACCCAGGCAGGACCCAAGACCATTGCCCCTCCTCCCGTACTTCTCCAAGAACTGAGTATTTGGAGTAACCCCTATTGGTCCCTTTTTCTTAGGGATTATTTTCAATAATGGACCCACATGGAAGGACGTTCGACGGTTTTCCCTAAGCATCCTCCGTGACTATGGGATGGGGAAACAGGGTAATGAGGCCCGCATCCAGAGGGAGGCACACTTCCTGATGGAGGAGCTCAAGAAGACCAATGGTTCGTATCTCAGCAGTCTGAAGGGATCATGGTTAGATTCCCAAGGACACTGAACAACCTGGAGGCAGTTGGCAGCTAAGGGAACCCTAGGGAAGGAAAGGTCAAGTTGATCCCCAGGCACTGCCTTCTCAATTTGAGTCCCAGTTCTTCTTCCAGAAGAGCAAGAGTAGCTGCCAGGTGTAACTGCTGTACCCTAGATAGCATTAAAAAATAAAGACACTTGGGGGCTCAGAAATTCACTATGTCCTCCATGAGAACTCACGGGACACTGAGTTGGCTAGGGAAGGCCACCCTGAGGTGCTCACACTCTACCTGTTTTCCAGGTCAGCCTTTTGACCCCACCTTTCTGGTTGGCTGTGCACCCTTCAATGTCATTTCGGACATCCTCTTTCACAAACGTTTTGATTACAATGACAAGACGTGTCTGAGGCTCATGAGTTTGTTCAATGAAAACTTCTACCTGCTAAGTACTCCCTGGATCCAGGTGACAGTGCTCCTCCTCTTCCATGAACCTTCGGTTGCATTGTTTACATTAGGAGAAGAAAAATCCAGGTTGTGTGGGAGAGACAGGCCTAGGAAAGCAAAGAACAGGAGAATACGGGAGGGTATTTGACTGGGTTGACTCAGTACTTCTCACATCAGTACCTGTGTCTACTTGCATGTATGAGTTCCTATCCACACTATCCCCAAAAGACAGTTGGACCCAATATCCTAAATAGTATGATAAAGACAACCATAAACTCATTGTTTGGAGGTTCTACCAGTTACATAGTTTTTGGTCTCCTTAGGCTTACAATAACTTTGAGAATTATCTACGATACCTACCTGGAAGCCATAGAAAAATAATGAAAAATGCATCTGAAATAAGACAGTACACACTTGCAAAAGCCAAGGAACACCTCCAGTCACTGGACTCCAGCTGCCCTCGGGATGTGACTGACTGTTTGCTTATAGAAATGGAGAAGGTAATGGACAAGATGGACTTGCTGGGGTGGGGCAGAGTGCATGCATACAGTTCTCACATTATGGCCAATTTGCTGGTGTTCAGACTGAGCACGATGGCTGCATTTTGATGTTCATGGTTTTTCATAAACATGCTTGGCTTCAGCATGAACACCAATCTCTTCTCTGGTCTCTTTTGGAGGCAAAGTCCCTCTGTTCAGCTCCCTCCGAACCAAGATGAACTGCAACCCTTTGGATAATCTGGTCTTGTCTGAGAAAAAACTTCAGCATCCCTTTCGGTATTATTACCAAATTTTGTTTAGCTTTCAGAGGGCTAGGTCTCCCCACTTTCATATTCCTACAGCCTCTGGGACCACTTAGATTGCTACCTTACTTCATTTTTGTAATGGCTTGAAAACATGTAATATCTTACACTGATTTCCTCTAGATAATTTCCATTTAAGAATCCTTACTTTTAGTTCAGCCTCTCCCTTGTCTTGATCCAAAGGCTCAGCCTTGAGCCTGAAAAGAGGCTGGAGCTAGCCCCTGCAGCTTAGAAGGCCATTGTCATTATCAGACAACTCTGGCACTGATGAGCAGGCCAACACCCTGTGACCTGGGTAAGAAACCTTTCCTGTGCTTAGCCTGTTTTCTGGGAGCCTCGGCTTTCCCAGTCATGAGGTAGAGAGGGCTGCTTCCTGGTGGCACAAGGAGAGTCTGACATAACCTGGTCCCTCCCTGCTGAAGATCAGTGGGCATCACCTTCTCACACCTAAAGAGATCTGTCTCACCAGGCCCCTATCTGTCTCCAACTTCACAGGAAAAAGACAGCCAAGAACCCATGTACACAATGGAAAATATTTCTGTGACTTTGGCTGACCTGTTCTTTGCGGGGACAGAAACCACCAGCACAACCCTGAGATACGGGCTCCTGATTCTCATGAAATACCCAGAGGTTGAAGGTACATGAATGAGAAGCTGAACTCCTATGTGGCACAACTGAGCCTGTCAGGATCACCCTGTGCAAGTCAGGCTTCAACTGTTGTGCTGTGGCTGCTTCCTGACCTTTTCAGGGCTCTGGATCACTGAATGACGTTATGTGCCAGGGCCAAGTATCCTAAAGACTGGCTGTTCCCACACACACTCTACTGGGATGCCTGTAGCCCAGTGATGTAATGGAGAGGGGAATGAGTCTGTGCTCTGCTCTGTAAATGACTTATTTATGATGAGAAAATAATGTTCCAGTTTCCCCTGACAAAGACTTTTTGGGTTGATTGGCTGAGACAGGGATAGGGGGCCAGGCTGGGGTCATCCCAGAGCATCTTACTCCAAGGGACTCTGAATGGAGATTGAGAGAAAAGCAATCAAGGCTGCCCCAAATCCACTTCACTTCCTCTTTAAGGCAGGAGGAATTCTGTACCTGAAGCAGGCATGGGGGCTTTGATCCAGTATCCAGGGGGTTATACATACACTTGCCAGTTAGAGGCAGTGTGATGATCCCTACATGTAAGTTGATGGGGATCACCTTTAGTAGATGAATTGAGGGGGATTACAACCTAAGATGAAGGTACTCAAAGGCCTGAAACCCTGCCATTCTCCAAGATGGTCATAGATCTGGGCAGCTACTGCGTACAAAGCAATGCTTTCTAAGAAAGTGGTTATGTATCTGCCAGTCCAGGGACAAGATTCAGGCTCCAGCCTTCTTGTCAGCAATGCCTTCACATCACACAGAAAAATAAAAACTGAAAATGGCTAAAGTCCAGGGAGGAAAATATACAAATTACAGTACCTAGAACTTTGACTACTGTACTAGGGAACCATGAACTACAAAATGTCTTAAATTATTAATTTAATGAATTTCTAATATAGACAAAGAGAAAGCAAATATGGTAGGCACCCATATATCCATTATCAAACTGAAGATCTATTAATATTTTGTTCTGTTTGTTTGGGAGCTCTTAAAAATGGAACATTATATGGCTAGCCAGAGCCCAGCTAACTGACACTTCCCTGCCTCACTCCCCAGATATGGTGATATTTCGAGGCCACTGTGTAGCATTTCCATGTGACTTGGACATTTAATAATAATGAAATACCAACGCATAGCTCATTGTTTTTATACATGCCTTAATATTACACCATACCATACACAACTTAATGCCAATTGCTTTTTTCACTCCACATATTATTGTTGTTTGATGTTGAGTCTTAGGTGCCACAGTAGAGACAGAAACTCATCAAGATGTTAAGTCTTCATTGCTCCAAAGAGCAGAGGGGTACCGCCTTCTTGGAAAATACTTACACCTGGCTAACTCACTCCAGTTACTTTGTTCAAACAATTACAAGGCTAATTGGTTCTGGGAAAGGTTCCAACTACCAAAATCATCTTGTTCTTGCTGTCCATGAAAACAGACAATCCACACAAATCTCAGTCTCTTTCGACTATGTCAAGCAATAATCAAATGTAAGAACTCTGGGTCTTCCAGGAGTGTCTTAGAACCAAGGTCAGTGTAGCTACAAACTCTCACATATCACCAAGTGCAGACTCTCCAGATAAACAATTTTTCAATGTTTAAACAGTCGCAAAACAAATTCCCAGCCTCTACTGATTTGCCTAAACATAGCAAAGGCTTTGCTGAAGCATTGTTCTCAAAGCCAGACACCAAGGCTTTAACTATACATTTCATTTTAAAAAACAGACATAAGGGCTTTACTTAATATCACTACATATTCCAGAGTCCCATAGTGAATTCCAAACACAGAAAAACTAAGGAACTTGGCAAAGACTGCTATTACCTCTGTCATAATCACAGGGACTTTTAGATTTCAAGAATTGTATTCTAGTCTGTAACCCTCTTCCTATTTATCATAATAGTAAGCCATTCTAGGATGATGATGCAAAGATTTCCCTTTAAGAAGAAATGACCAAGACCCTTTTGTTATCTCTATTCCTGATTTGAAGAGAATTGGAAAAACTACCACTAGCTATGGCAATGGATGCCGAAACTTCAACTGTGAATAATATCATAGATCTTAGCTTTCAGTGATAATCCAAAGTACCTGGGGATTATTAATTCAGTTTAAGGTGCTCTATAAGCATGCAATGGGTAGTTTGGCAGGTGGAAAGAAGGATAATTAGATATCTGTGTGGGACCAGGGGATAGTTGGGTAGATGGATGAGTAGGTAAGTGAGAGTGTAGAGAGGTGGGTAAGTCAATAGGTAGATGAATGGGAACAATAGATAGATGAATGGGAAAGTGGGTGGGTTACATGGACAGATAGGTGAGCAGGTTGGTGGAATTATATATAGATATATAGATATATAGATGGGTAGTAGGTGAACATCAATTCTGAAATTAACCCTTTAAATTGATCTCATTCATATCTTGGCAGAGAAACTTCATGAAGAAATTGACAGGGTTATTGGGCCAAGTCGTGTCCCTGTTTTCAAAGACAGGCTGGAGATGCCATACATGGATGCTGTTGTGCATGAGATTCAGAGATTCATCAGTCTTATCCCCTCCAACCTGCCCCATGAAGCAACCCGAGATACCATGTTCCGAGGATATGTCATCCCCAAGGTGAGGCACGAGCTAGAGAGCCCTCCATGGGCATTGCCTGTTAGTTTTTCATCTAGGTTACCCTTCAGGATTGGGACTCAAGGGCACTTTTACCAGCATATGCAGCTGGATGTGAAAATCAAGTCAGCATTCTTGCCCTGAAGAACACTTAGTCAACCCCAATAACCCTATGACCAAAGAAATGGAAGGAATCATGGAAAATGTCTCAACTGGTCCATAGGACTTGTAGAACATTCTAACACTGAAATCCCATGGCAGCAGCAACCCAGCCTGAACCCCACCTTACAAAAGATATGGGGCCTTCCTGTTCATTTAGACCTGATCCCTAGCTCTTTTGTGTGTAGTCTTTAAATAACACTGCAAATAAAAATATGTTCTCCTGCATAATGTAAAATTCCAACAGCCCTCTTCACTAGGGTCTTCCAGGTGAAGCCTATGTTTTGTTAACTGATAGAAACTTCTATTTCTTCCAGGGTACAGTTGTGATTCCAACCCTGGATTCCCTTTTATATGACAGTCAAGAGTTTCCAGATCCAGAGAAATTTAAACCTGAACATTTTCTAAATGAAAATGGGAAGTTCAAGTACAGTGACCATTTCAAGGCATTTTCTGCAGGTAAGCGGAGTTCAGGGGTCACACCATCCCCGGGAAATTGTCTTCTCCAATCCTGTGTCTACTTCCCATGTGCTCTTGCCCTGTCCTAGAAGAGGACTGCCATCCCAACCTCACTATGCCCTTGTAACACATAACCCAAATACGTTCCTCCTTGTTCTAAGAAGTCAGATGTCATATTTCACCAGAAGTCCTGGAAATAAGATGTTTGGGGTTGATGATTTTATCAGTGAACATTTTTTCTAGTTAATTGTTGTTTCTACTTTAGCCAGATGCAGTAAAAAGCTCTCAAAACTATATTACCTACTTCTTCATAAATTTTCATAAGAATTGCTAAGCTCTATTCTTTAGCTCCCTGGACTCTTAGCAAGCATCTGTACCTGCCAGATGGTCCCATCTCAGGGCCTACCTAGGAATCCAGTAAAGGGAGATCCCACAGCCAGTTTGATAATTTTAACCACCTATGTTTGCACAGGTTTCACCTGTCCCATCTTCCTGAAATTATGGCAAAGAAGCTTTGGGTCCATTTCCCTAAACTACCACTTGCTTATGTAGCAGAATTCTGAATGAGTGGTGTTGGAAGCTGGTCCCTGAGTCACTGCCACCCTTGTTCTCTGACATATGACGACTAGTGTTCAGGGACCAATGGGCATAGACAATGAATCGTTTTAGGTGGTTTGCCTAAAGCCTCCTCCCACACTTTCAATACCTCAGTGTTAGAAGTGTTGCTCTGCAAGGACCCCTCATTAGCACTGTTGTTACTTCTAGGAAAGCGTGTGTGTGTTGGAGAAGGCCTGGCCCGCATGGAATTGTTTCTGCTCTTGACTGCTATTCTGCAACATTTTAATCTGAAGTCTCTGGTTGACCCAAAGGATATTGACCTCAATCCTGTCACAATTGGTTTTGGCTGTGTCCCACCTGAATTTAAACTTTGTGTCATTCCCCGCTCCTAAGACCTGGAAACTGCCTGTCTCAAGTGAAAAGTCAACACAGACATCATTATTATCCCTAAAAATGTGACTTTGTTTTTTAAAAATCCTAAGCATATAGAGTTCCTATCATGAAATGAAACAGAAAATAAATAAAATCTCAATTATATGTTAGCTGTGGATTTAGTGAGGAGGACCTTGTCCCCTTGGCTATATAAAAGTTCCCCAGTGAGTAAACACCATTCCATAGCCAACAGTACAGCATCTTCAGTCAGTCTGTCCCTTACTTCTCTTGAGGAATGTGGGATGATCCTGTTAGGAATAAAGCGTGAGGAACCTTGGCGGATTCCATGGCAAGTGAGGGTGACCGAGGCAGGGGTACAAACACACCAGGCAGATAGAGCTTAAATGAGAAGTTTTATTAGAAAGGGAAGTGGGAGAGAGAAAAGAGGCTCAGATACAAAGAGAGGACAGAAGAGTAGAGGGATACAGGAAAAGTCCTGTCTGCCCCAGGGGAACAGTAGGAAAGAGAGAGGGGAAAGGGAGACAGGAAAGAGAGCATAAGTGGATGGAAGTCTTTCTTTTAAAGGGTTCCTTTGCACCTGGGCTGACCAGGGTACTGACTGCATTCTGCCAGGTGACAAGGGCAGGCCAGCATAATGCCTGAATCCTTACAGATCCTGGTTATCTGCCTATCTCAAGACCCTGAATTTAAATATATATTCAAAGTTCTCTGATGGGGGATGTCTTTCTGTATATATGTTTCTCTTATTGGTTGAATAATAAAACACTGATTGGCCAGTAGCCAGGCAGAAAGTATAGGAGGCACTACCAGATCAGGATAATTCTGGGAGGAGGAAGGCAAAGAGAAGCCACCAGAGAAGATGCCATGTAGTGGTTGGGAATATAGGACACTGAAGCATTCTCCACGTGGAAATACATAGATTAATACTTATGGGTAAATAATTAAGACAGAGCTAGCCAGTAAGAAGCCTGAGCTATTGGCCAAACAGTTTAATAATTAATATAAGTCTCTGTGTGTTTATTTGGGGCTAAATGACTGTGGGACCAGGTGGAGCAGAATCTCCATCTACAGTTCTCTTATGGATTAGAGTAACATATTCATAGGTTCTCAGGATATAATGTAGACGCTTTAGGATGACCCCACTTTCCAGATCATCTACTCTGGAGCAATACTGAAATCCAAAGTTAACAAATGCCACAACCCCCACTGAAGGTACTTGGGTCATCATGACTCCACAATGGCAAGACTACCTCCAGGGAAAAAAAGGAAGAAGAGGGCAATTTTAAATTTTGCTTTGGGGCAGAGAGGTGTCAATTTAAGAGATTGCCATTAGGATAATTCTGAATTGACAGGGAAAAGAGAGAGTGTGGGTAGCTCTAATTGTAGCATCATCTGAGGTTGACACACCTGGTCAACAGAGTCACTAACTATACTCACTTAGTGGTGAAGCTTAGGATGGCTCAAGTCTGGTTGTCTTTTCAAGAGAGTAGCATTAACTTGGCAAGTACAGTTGCAAACCAAGAAAGGTGGCACACATCTTTAATTCCTGCATTCAGGAAGCAGAGGCAGGCACATCTCTGCGAGTTTGATGTCAGCCCAGTCTACATAGCAAATTCCAAACTAACCAGGACTACACAGTGAGACTCTGTCTCAAAACAAACAAAACAGGAATACAGTTTTTTGGGAGAATTAGTCTTGCCTTAAGGAATTTACTATTGCTCTGTAGTATACATACTTCTGGGCTTGGTAAGCCCATACCCATCTTGAAGATACAGTGACTGTGGAAACCTGTAGGAAACCCTGTCCCTAAATCATGGCAATGAAACGAACCCCACAGCAATTATGGAGGTCTATGAGAATAGGGCTGTTGGCACTCAGTTCTGCATGGAAGGGAAGGGTCACAGGGCCCACAGGAGACCCTTACAAAATACTCTTCTGGGATTCCATTCAATACTCCCTCATTCTGCAAGAGGAAAAAGACTGACTGGGGGCAGGACTTTTCATTAAGAGGTATAGACACTTCTGCATCATGCATGCTCTTGTAAATCACCCACTAACACAATTTTCACTAAACTGGATTAGACAGAACCTTTCTTTGGTGTCTCCTTATTTATTTGGGGTGAATGTACATTTCATTTGCATCTTGTCAAGAAAACCACAAAACAAATGGCAACCAAACAAGGACCCAATAGAACCAAGGATGGATGGGGAGGGTATGCCCACTTATGTGCTCCCCAAATAAATGAGCATTTTTAATTTGGGGTGTTCCTGCAACATTGTCTTGCTCATGAACAATACAGACTCAAATTACATTCATTTTTCTTGAAGAATGAGGTGGATTCTAGCATGAGGTAAGAGCTGGTGATGTGTCTTCCTTTTGTTTCTAAGCCAATGCTACCTAGGCCTCTAGGAAGGAATTAAATTATGGGTAGAATCAGATCCTGTGAGAAGATCCAGATCTGTATCCTTCTACCCACAATCAGAGAGTGTGTCAGATACTAAAGGTGAGCAAGAGATGGGGAAAGCATTTACTAAGTCCTGCAGTGTGGATCCTAAGCTTGTCAAGAATCAAAATTGAGCCAAGGATCTCCAGGTTCAAAAATTTAAGTGGCTTGGCCCCAACACCCATTCTTCCACCCAGCATATACGCAGACAAAGCAAACTATACAAAATGGCCCTTCTGTTTCAAAAGGCCCCATATGATGAGTTTGGAGTCAGCATGCCTTCCAGGTCAAAGAGGGCATTAGGTCCTGCTTGGTGGGTGCTCTTGGTCTTTCTCCTCATGGACTCCTAGGGGCTTGGGACTGGCCTGTGGGAGGGAAAGGTCCAGGAATTTTTCCCTGTTCACATCATTCCCCTTCCATCTTTCTGTGCCCATGCGACCATGGATTTACACCTTTGCCTTAGCTGTGCCTCCTGCAGTAGGAATGCCCTTTCCCACAGACTATCCTCTGGGGAATGCCACTATCCTCTTTCCCTTCTGCCCCAGGGTTTACCATCATCCATGAGTTGTCTGCTTCATCTTGCATACTCTGAACTTGAGCAAGGATCTGTACCCCATGCTTTTCCAGTTCTTCTTTCAGCCTATTAAGGAAGAGTGGGCAAAGAGAATGGATGCAGGAAAGCTGAGAAAGAACAGAGACACACGGGCAGAAGAGGGGAAGCAGCTATCATTCATCTCCCTGAGAGGAATGAGGAGACAGGGGCTCCACGCCCACCTCTGCCGTTTCTGCTGTAGCTGTTGGCACCTCTGCAGCAGCTGATGGTGTTGCTGAGCTGCAGCCTCTAGAAACTCCTCAGCTTTCTTGTTCTCATCCTTGAACAGCTGCCTGGAAGTGGGGAAAGGATTCAGCGCTCGGTATTTCCTCTTCCTGCCCCACCCTGCATCTTACATTGCTGCAGCTGCCTCATGGCTTCGGAGGAAGAGCCCCTCAGTAAGAGTGGAAGACCCCTCAGGCCCACACAGAGCAGACAGCCGATGTTTCACATCCTCCAGCTTTACCTCGATCAGTTTCTCTACAGAGAGAGAGTAATGAGAAGGTGAGGGCAACCCCCATCCCCCACCCTCCACCTCCCCACCCCACCACCACCACCACCACTCCCCCACCCCCTCCCCCCAGCCCTCACCTTACCTTCCTTGAGTAGCTGCTCCTTGCTGCTGTCCAAAGCACATGTCTCCTTTGCCAGATGTTCAGGCTTCTGAGGGGTGGTACAAAAAAAAAATCTGTCCAGATCTCCCTGCTTCCTTGTGCTTCAGAGAAGCACGAAAAGATGTAGTCATTTCTTTCCTCAGTAAGTTTCACTTCCTACTTCCTTCGATGAATGCCAGCCATGACTTCACCTTGGGGACACTGACCCTGCCATTCCCTCCCCTTAGACCTCTTAATCCTGAAAACAGGTTCAAGGGAGAGTATCTGAAACCCTAAAATCTGCAAATCTACAATCTTGAGCCGCTCTCTGCAGCATTAGATACTGGAGTTTCTTCCCCTCGTGTCTCCTCCATGGCCTCCTGACTGACCTTCTGACATTAGCCTGTGTTTCTGCTGGAGTCAGGGAACTCCCAGGGTGAATGTTGTCTGTTCCCTGATGTGTCTCCTGTGTGTGGGACAGTCTCACACATTGTGGGTATTGTCAACGGATTATTCCATTGATTCTATCATGGCATCCCCAGAACACTGAATGGACACACAACATGGTGAATGTGGAAGACCAGCAGTGAGGACATCAAGCACCTCAAGAGAGGTCACAAGGGGCTGGATTTAGGGTGACAGCAAGACCATCAAGGGTTACACAGGAATAAAGTGTGACAGGTGGCACAGCTTAGTATGACTCACATGAAATTCCAAGAGGTCCTTGTGCTGGCTCATCAAAGCCTCCAGCTGTTCTTCAAAATCCAACCTAGGAGCCAATCACAGAGCCATGAAGGCCATGAGCTACCACAGAGGAGCTTTGTTTATGCCCACTGTTCCACAGGGAATACGTTCACCCCCTTGACCATCCAGAACTAAGCTTAGCCAGCTCTTCTGGACCATCTAGGGTAGGACTTGTACCTACAGCACATCTCCAGCTAAGCCTCATGCCTTTTGGTTTACCTCAGTTGTCTTAGTTTTTCCTTCTCCTTGTCCATCTGAGAGTTCAGGAAAGAAATTCTCTCTTTACACTCCTGTAACATGCTGTGCTTCCTGGGAAGGAAACCAACACTCAGTCGTGTTCTTTGAATGACTCTTCCAAAGGGAGGGTTGGGGACTTCTGTTCCTCTATTCATGTCTGTGTCTAACACACTAGGTGATATGGAGGGTAACATAACACTTAGTAGGAGGCCACTATAGGCATGGTATCTTACCTTTGTGCCTCGCTTTCCTTCTCCTGGCACTGCAGCCGCATAATCCTCAGAGTCTCTGTAAGGGTAACAGAGCCCTCTGAGTGCTTGCTAAGGCTTCATGTTTGCCAGATGGAACAAAACAGGTCACGTCAAGTCTATAGACACTTGATTGGAATTTAACATTTTCTGGGTCTGATGAAAGCCATAGGAAGGACATAGGTCAGCAGGTCTTAAGGTTCTAGCTACTAGAGAGAATGGGCTTAGGAAGGGTATCACAAAGTCTAGATATGGGGAAATATGGGAATACCTTGCTTTTTGTTCAAGATATCCTTCAGACGTACTTTCTCTTCGTGTACTAGAAAACATGATGAAGGCTCAGGCTCAGGCATTAGGGACCAAACACAGAAATGTCAACGGCAGTAATATGAGAGGCAAAGTATAGCTGTAACCCTAACCCAGATGTAGTTTCTTTGAGGTGAGTTCCCATCCCTATGGTACCCATACTCCTGTAAACACAATGGGTCCATAGCATTCACAAACGATGTCTATGAGGAACAAGCAGGACATCCATTAGGACTGGGAAGAACGATGTCAATCAAAAAGGGCTACGCGACCAGGTAAGACAAGATGATTAAAAGGACCTCTCCAATTATTCAGAGCTGGTGCTGTGATGAAAGAACTTGGGGCAGAAGTGTCCTCAAAGGCATTTCTAGAGCTCTCCTATTAGAAGCTGGGAATACTAGAAGAATATGAGGTTGGGGAAAGAGGAGAATCTTGACCTTGTCAAGTGCCTACAATACTGCATTGAGAGACGTTTAAGACATTCTGGGCACCTCTAGTAACTCTCAGTTAACTTACATGAATCCAGGTCCTTCTGCAGGGTATCCCAAACAGTCTGGGCCTCTCCAAGCTCCTCACTGGCTTTCTTTTTTGCTTTACCAAAAGAGTAGACAAATGTTTGGTAAGGATGACATTTCATATTTGTCTCCAAGAAAACCTAGAGAGGTCCAGATTTTACAAAACAGGAAACAAGGCTTTCTAAATCCGGGCCCTCCTTTCTGGGCTCAGGTGGCAGCAGGGTCGTGTTCACTGGTCAATGACTATGGCAATTACATACAGAAATGTCCTGCACTTGTGCTCTCATGCAATTAACTACAGATACTTAACAGGGACACCTGTATTTCCACTTTTTACTGGGTCTAGCCTGAAAAAATCATGTAGCTATTCCTAGATCGTAGTCAGAACTGAGCTCACCTTGCTGAACCTCATTAATGCGGTTAATCAGGACCTCAATCCGGGGCTCTAGACTTCCCACTGCAGGGCAAAAAGGAAACTCATTGATAATATGACTGCCTGGGATTCTGAAGCTTTCCATTCCCATGAATCTATTGAGCATTGAACATGTACAGGTGTTACATCATGGCCTCAAACTTGGAGTGTGAGGACCAAGGAACAGGCCAATAGAGATGCTGAGTCAGACTATGGTAACTGCCACGAGAAATTAAGCTCAGGAAGTGCTTCTCGGATGTGAGAAAGTGTCTTGTAAGAAAGGAAGGCCCTCAAGCTCTCGGGGTAAAGTGGGGGATGCAAAGCGCAAAGGCCCGTCCTGAGGAGGAATGGGAGAGAAGCACGATGAATACCATACACAAGTAGAAGGTGGCAGCATGTAAGGCAGAAGGAGAGTTATGGGAGACCCTGGATCTAACTAAGTGATGTGCAGTCAAGGGAGACTTGGGACAAGGTTTTGGGAAAACATTTTTGCCTTCTATATACTCATGCTTCTTTAATTCTGAATCACTGGGCTCCATTTTTAGTTCAAAAATTAAAATTTAAGGGGCCAGTGAGATAGTTCTGTGGGCACTTGCCACCAAACCTGACAATCTCGAGTTTGATCCCTCAAACTCACTGGTAGAAGGAAAGAACTGACTCCCTTAAACTAACCTCTGACTCTGGCACATTCTTTGACATGGTATGTGTGCGTGAGCATGACCCATTGGGTGCCAGCACACGTGTGCACGTACACACACACACACACACACACACACACACACAATGTCTCTCTCTCTCTCTAAATGCTTCTTAAAATTAAATTTTAAGTTCAAAAGCATCCACTTTTATTTTATGCCTGAGTGCTTTGCTTGCATATATGTATACCCACCGCATGTGAGCCTGGTGCCTGCAGAGACCAGAAGAGGGCGTCAGATCTCCTAGAACTGAACTTACTAATAATTGTGAGACACCTTATGAGTGCCGGGAAACAAACCCGCTCCTCTGCAAAAGCAGTTGGTGCTCTTAACTGATGACCTATCTCTCTACGCACACGCAGTTTAAAGAAAGTTAATCTGAATAAAGTCATTTCTTATTTTTGTGAATTGTGGTGCTTGGAGTTGAATCTACATCTGCCTGACTTCAAACCTCAGGGTAAGCCCATAGGCAAAAGAGACACATGACCTTTCTGCAACTTCTTCACCATTTCCATTAAGCCTTCAATTTTCTGCGTGGTCACATGCTGCCCTGGGGAGACAAAAACCAAACTTTCAAGCTCAGCAGTATAAATGGCCAGGAGATGGATCCAGCACCTAGGCTGATACTGAGATTAGCTGAGGACAGATCTAACCAGAACAGAGTTGCTGATCCCTCTCCCAAAATGGATAGTACAAAAAAGTGAGTTGGGCCCCTCCATGGACAGCCTTTTCCTACATGATGCAATAGCACCACACATTTGGATCACAAAACTCAAGGTGAGGGCAGTGCTATATTGTTCACTTGTGCTGCTGATGTTGTTAAAGCAAGGTCAAGTTCACAAAGACTGGGGTAGTAGGTGTGGTGGCATATACCTATAATCGTAGAACTTAAGAGGAAGTGGCAGGAAGAGCAACAATTTGAGTCTAGCCTGGCCCTTATCACAAGGTAAAATCCACCTTAAGCTACAATTCAGGGCTAGAGATCCACAGTAAGCGCACATGTGGCACCATCCAGACTGGGAAACTATATAGAGAATTTTTTTAACATCAAGGGGAAGGGGGTGAGGGAGGAAGACTCCTCAGGAATGAGAAGAGTCTTAAGAGACACATCTATTTAATTTCAAAAAAATGGTCTGTAAATAGATTTTGGTCCAAATAAATGCATTGTAAAAAATACTAAAACAATTAGCAATTTTTTTTAAATCAACGGGATATTTGCTAAGATAAAGGAGTTGTTGGCGCTATTATATAGCTGTAGCGAGTGTTATTTTTCTGGGATACTTGTCTCTATATACACACATGGGACATTCAGGAATTGCACTACTGTCTGTGGTGCTCAGTCATCAAACGGGGCACTGGGTGATGGGGTAAAAAGATTGACGAACAAATAAAAAACACCCACGCTGGAGCTCACGGCCTAAGCCCATTGCCTCTCTGCTTTTGTATAGACTTTTGAGTTCATCACAATAAAAATACTGTTTTACTGCCCCAATACAGAGACACTAAATCGTTTGTGCAGAAAAGTTTTGAGAACAGTAGTTTTGTTCAGAGGCGAGCCGGCCACCCACACACTAGGCGCTGGGATGGCGTCAAGTTCTGGCCAGCGAAGGGCGACTTCTGCTCGGGTAGGGCCACCTGACTTCAGGCCTGGTGCCACAGGGCCCCGGTGCAAGCCTGCTCTGAAGGTGACAGGAGGAGCGTGCCCTGCAACAACCCCACACTAGGCCTGGCATCGCAGGGAGGCAGCGAGCATGCTCTAAGGCAGCACACGCCTCGTCAGTCAGCGCGCCCACCCCCGGGTTCGCGCCCACCCGCCCAGATCTCCTCCGGCCTCGACAGGAGGCCCCCTCACCCCACCAGTTCGCCAGGGCAACCCAGGCTCCCTTCAGCCACTACCTCCGGCCCCCTCAGGCCTGTGGAGTGGGTCTGCTGATCCCTCGGGCTCCATGCCCAACGGCTGAGGTCTGGTGGCCATGCCGCTCCGCTTCACTCAGCGCCACAGCCCCCTAGCAGCTGTTACCCACTGCGCCTGCGCAGGGCGCTGCTTGCCGCTCAGGCCCACCATGCGGCCAGCTGCTGCGCATGCGCAGACGTTTGGGTTTTGTTTGATTTGGTTGGGTTGGGTTTTGTTTTTGGTTTTGTTTTGTTTTGTTTTGTGTTTTGCTCTTTCTCCCACCACTACCACCACCACCGCCAACCAAACACTAATCCCATTTGAAATGAAGACTTCCAAGCCAGTGATTGATTGACCAGTTTCAGAGGCAAGTGCCTGACCAAGAATGCATGCCTAACTCTCTACAAAGGTTAAGATTACGGTTGTTAGTGATAGAATTAAGGTTGTCGGAGTTAGGATTAGCGTTAGAACTTGGAAATTTTTTACTCTTGGACAGAGCAGTGATATTGAGCAGACCCATGATGCCTACTGAAAGAACCTCAAGGACCTGCGGTGGACATGGTAGTCAGCTGAGTTCCCAAGAGACCATTCACCACCGCTTCAAAAAAGCTTGGTGTCTCCCTCTGCCTGGACAGCGGTGTGAGCACAGGACAGAGCAGGTGAGGCTATGTTCCACAACCACCGCTACTCTCACATTGCTCGTCGTCTATGGTAGTCTCTGTGACCCAGGTACCGATCTTCCTAGACCTGAATAACCCAACAGTTCGTGTCTAGTAGTTTGCTGGCCCCTGTCCCAGTCTGAGGAATCAAATATCTGCCCAGAATACACTGGGCTCTCAGAGTTCTTTTTTTTTTTTTTTTTTTTTTTTTTTTGGTTTTTGGTTTTTTTCGAGACAGGGTTTCTCTGTGGCTTTGGAGGCTGTCCTGGAACTCGCTCTGTAGACCAGGCTGGTCTCGAACTCAGAGAGATCCGCCTGCCTCTGCCTCTCGAGTGCTGGGATTAAAGGCGTGCGCCACCAACGCCCGGCTTCTCAGAGTTCTTAATGGGGGGAAATCTGGTGAACTCTTCCCCTGAACAGATGTTAAGTGAGGCTCCCTGGAGCCCACTCAGCAGCCACCCTAGAAATGAGAACAAATGCCAGGTTCTCAAATTGTTACTTGTTACTTTGGTTGTGAGTCTAGCCTTTAACGACTGAGCCATCTCTCCAGCCAGTAGAGATGCTTTTACGTACACTGTGCTAATAAATAACCCTGCATGAGGTAGCCATAGTGAAATAAATAATTTAATATATTAAGAATTATGTACTCTGTGTTTTGAAGACCAAGACTAAAATACTATTACATATGATATACATAATAATATATAACATATATAATATTATATATAATCAAAATATATTATGCATGTTGATATCTTATGAGAGCCATGTATTTTTTTTCATGATCAGAAACATGAGAGTGGTGGCACACACCTTTAATCACAGCACTCAGAGGCAGAAGCAGGCAGATCTCTGTGAGTTTGAGAGCAGCCTTGTCTACAACACAAGTCCCAGGACAGCTAGGGCTCTTTCACAGAGAAATCCTATCCCAGAACAGGAAGAAAAAAGAACAGGAAGGAAGGAAGAAAAGTAAGACTGCAACACTTACATGTTCATGTATTTTAAAGTACAGTAAATAAACATATACATCTTTCCTACTTGTGATGGTTCATCTTCATTGTCAACTTGATTGGATTAAGATTACCATGGTTGCAATATGTATGCCTTTAATTTCCTTCTCTTGTCTTATTGCTTCATCTAGCACTTGGAGCACAATATTGAAAAGAAGTGGGGATAATGAACATCCCTTTCTAACTCCTGATTTCAGTGGGATGACTTCAAGCTTTTCTTAATTTAGGGTGATGTTGGCTATGATTTTCTCATTTATATCTTTTATTATGTTTAGGTATATTCCCTCTAGCTCTACATTCTCTAGGATTTTTATCATCAATGTATTTTGGATTTTTGTCAAACTTTTTTTTCTGCATCTATGGTGATGTTCATGTGCTTTTTGTCTTTCAGTTCATCTGTGTGGTTTACTACATTTATTGACCAGTGTATGTTGCATATCCATGCATTTCAGAGATAAAGCCAACTTGGACATAGTGCATAATCTTTTTATGTATTTCTGTATTTTATTTGCAGTGTTTTAGTAAACATTTTTGAATCTATGTTCATCAGGAATACTGACCTGTAGGTTTCTTCTTTTCCTGTATTTTTTCCTGGTTTGGGTATCAAAATGATACTAGCTTTGCAGAGGGAATTTGGGAGCCCAACTTCTATTTCTGCCTTTTTTTAATGGTTAAAAAAATGAATGTAGATCTTCAATGAAAGAATTCTACTGTGAATCCATCTGATCCTTGACTTCATTTTCTAGCTGGAAGGCTTTTTATTCCTATTTCAGTCTCCTCACTAGTTATATGTCTGTGTAGGTTGATGACTCCTTTTGATTTCCAGCTTACTGGAGCTCATGTTCTTAAAGTATTACCCTACGACATTCTGGATTTCTGCAGTGTCTGTTGTACTGCTTCCCTGCTCATTTCTGACTCAGTTAGCTTGGGTCCTCTTTTCCTTTCTTTGGACTGGTTGAGCCAATAGTCAATGAATCTTGTTTATCTTCTCAAAGAATCACCTCTTAGATTCAATGATTTTTTTGTTTTCTTTATTTCTATTTCATTGATTTCTGATTTGAATTTTGTTATTTCTTGCCATCAATTGAGTTTAGATTTGATTGGTTCTTGTTTTTCCAAATTTTTGAGTGGCCTCATTATTTATTTGTAATCTTTCTGATTTTTTTTAATGTGGACACTTAGAACTGCAAATTTCCCTTGTAAGATTGCTTTCAATGTGTCCCAGCATTTTTAGTGTGTTGTGTTTTCATTTTCATTATCTCCACAAAATGTTATTGTTTCTTTCTGGATATCTTATTTGAGCCACTTGACTCTCAATAATGAGTTGTTTAATCTCCATGAGTGTGTGTATATTTACCAGAGACTTTTTCAAGTTGTATTATATTGTGGTCATATAGGATTCAAGAAGTGATTTCATTTCTTTTCAATTTGTAAAAATTTGTTTTGTATCCCAGGATGTGGTATACTTTAGAAGAGCTTCCATGTGCTTCTGAATAAAATATATATTCTTTAGTGTTTGGGGAACTATTCTGTAACTATCTGTTAAGTTCACTTGATATATGATGTTAGTTATTTCTGATGTTTCTGTTTATTTTTTGTGCAGATGACCTGTCTATTGGAGAAAATGGAGTACTGAAATTATGTCACTTTGGAGATTCCCCCATGGAGGGCCTCACTCTCCCTGGGAGGGGAGGGGCGGGGGGGTTAGGGAGCTGCTGAGGGTGGAAAGGAGGGGAGGGAGATGGAGCTGGGATTGACATGTGAAATAAGCTTGTTTCTAATTTAAATTAAAAAATAAAATATAAGAAAGAAATTAGCTGTCATTAATGGATTGATGCTAATTTGTGTCTTTAAATTCAGGAGCATATTTTTGTGAAATTGGGTCCCAGAGTTTGCTACATATATGTTTAGGATAGTAAAGTCTCCTTGGTTAACTATTCCCTTGATTAGGATTAAGTGTCTCTCTATTTCTTCTGATTATTTTTAGTTTGAAGTTTATTTTGTCAGATATTAAAATAATGATGCCTGCTTGTTTCCTGGTCCTGTTATATTGGAATAGTTTTTTCACCATTTTACATTAAGGTAGCACCTTGCTTTAAAGCTGTGTTTTTTGTAGACAGCAGATAGATGGATTTTGTTTCTTGATCCATTCATCAGCCTGTGTCTTTTGATTGGAGCATTGAGGCCATTGATACTTAAAAGTAATTATTGAAATGTGTGCTAGTAATTGCTATCATGTTGTTGATATTTGTACTATTGCTTGTGTTCTCAGTGGTACTTTGTGGTCTGTTTTGTTTTGTTTTTAAGTCAAGGTCTCTATGTAGTTCTAACTGTCCTGGAACTCATAATGTAGCCCAGACTGGACTGAGCCCACAGAGATCCACTGCCTCCTGGACTGGGATTAAAGGTATACACTACCATGTTCAATGGTACTTTGTGCTTATATGAGAAGATTTGAACAGAAGAAAGGGAAGGGGAAAATGGTGTTACTGTAGTATAATTCAAAACATAAAAGAAACAATAAAAACTGATGATGTATTAATTTGTAGTTAACAGTTTCTTATTGCCATATCAAATGCACTTATTGGAATTTTGAAAAAGTAGCATAGTATAGACATACTTTTCTTTCCCACAGACCAGTTCCCAAATAGCTGACACAGAGATTCAATATTAACTATTAATACTCTACCAATAGCTCAGGCTTATACCAACTAGCTCTTACAACTTAAATTAACCCATATTTCTTATCTAAGTTCTACCATATGGTTCATGTCTTGTTACCTCATTTTGTGCATATCCTGCTTCCTCTGTGTCTGGCTATTAATTCTTAAGACTCCACCCTTCTCCCAGCACCCTCCTAATAAGACTCTTCTGCCCAATCTCTTCCTTCCCAGCTATAGGCCAGTCAGCTCTTTATTAACCAATAAGAGTAATACATATTTACAGTGTACAAAGATTGTTCCACGGCAATACGGTTTATTATTGATTTTCGGTATGTGTGCCAAAGAATTAAATGTTACCTTGAAAGAGCCTTCTTTTATATTATATTTAATTAAATGTTGTTTTCTCCCTGTATAGTCTACTAAATACATCAACACAAAACCTTCAAAATCAGACATTCAAAAGTAGGTATGGTATTTAGTCATCATTTAAAACATATCTTGTCTATGTTGTAGGTCCTATTCTCTGAGGAGGTTGTAACAGAGAATGAAAAAGCCTATCTAAATGAGACACCAACATGTGAGAAATGTTTTTCACTGTTAAGTTGTGAAGGTACTTCTTATGTGAAAAAGATGATGCACAAGGGACTTTAGTTTCTGTTTAGATGTAAGTTAGTTTCTGATAAGAGAATTTTTTAAAAATCAACACCTGAGAAAAATTGACATCAGTCTCTTATTTGGTTTGTTTTCCTTTCTCTGTGATAAAAGCAACTTAAGGGAGCTGGGTGGTGGTGGTGGCAGTGC